TGGGATGATACAGATGGTTATATATATTATATATAGAGAGAGAGAGAGAGGAAAAACAAACAGAATTATATAAAGCGCCCGACATCTATGGAATCTAATGCCGAAACATAATTTCCCCCTTCTGCTTTTCAATGCTATTGCATTACTTATTTTGCCAGTAATATTATACACATACCATGTGCACATAATATATATATGTATGTTTATATTATTTTTGCTTTGAAATTGTTTTATGTTTTGTTTTAACGGGGGGGAAACATGCGGATTGGAATTTCATAACACATATTCACTTCACTCATATATTGTTTGTTTCCCACCGATATATATATATATATATATATATATAATCCTTCCCACAAAAAATATACATCTGATATATTTTTTAATATAGTAGAGACACATTAATAGGAATGTATCAAACTCTGTTCAGATCTATTCTAGTCTGATCCGCAATACTCCAGTCTAAAGCAGAATTCTGGTTGAAACAGATATGTCTTCGTTTGCAACAACCAAACGTGTGTTCGTGTTGGGTGTATTGTTCTGTTCTCTGTTATAACCTGATTTAAAAGGTGGACAAATTGCGCCCAGAATAAGCGAAAAGGGTTGGAGAGTCGCTGGGCTGGATTTGCTAAAGGACAGATGCCTGAGCGCTGGTGATGTGATTAAGGATTCACATTTTCAGTGCTATTCGATGGGCAATAGGCAGAGGAGTTAATCTTTAGTATCTGGGTCAAAAAATGCATCAGAGGAAAGGGGGTGGGAGAAAGCGACAAGTAACGAAAACACACACAGGCTGAGCCAAAAGGCAGTAACCACACGAGGTACAGGTCCTCTTTATCCTCGGGAATTGGACAAACAGTGAAACAGGTTGTTATTCATGTTTCAATTAAAGTAACTAAAGATTGGGTAGTGAGCTCAAACACTATGGTTCATCCACACACACATCCCATTTTTCTCCACAAATGACCATTCGTTGCTGGATCCGAAAATCAGAGAGAGAAAAAAAATCACCTCTTATTCTCAATGCTTTCGTTCACAGCTGCTGTTCAATTCAATTTTCCAATGCATTCGCACAAACCAATGCCTCTTCGAAAAAAAACGACAAATGTGCAATGCAAACCCTTCCTTGCTCTCTCTCTCACACACACACACACACACTACACTACAATATAGCAGTGCTGAGGTACGAAGGCGTGTAAACTGCACTGGAATTGCCCTCCCCACAATAACTCCACAGACCTGCAGTGGATCAGCCATGGGCAGATTATTTCCGAACAGTAGCTGAGTCAATTACAAATGCTAAATATGTGTATTACACACACACACACACACACATATATATATAAAGGAACAAAAATCGCCAGCCCACAACATGCTGTAGATTTTAAGTCGGGACTTTGCTTTCTATCAGCAAAGTTAATGGAATAATTTGCAATTCAGTAGATAGTGTTAATGGTTGCTTGGTTAAGCAGGGCTTTAAAACATTCTGAGTCAGATGCGACCATCACTGGTTGAGGAGAGAGAGAGAGAGAGACAGGCGTTCTTTAACACTTCTCTACTAATTCGGGTTCGGTAGGTACTGTACAAGGTAACGGCTTAGACCACAGTTTAAGGACTTTGCTTAGAGAAAATAAAGGTCTCTCTGTTCCACCTCACCTCACAGCTAAGCCACCAAAACCAACTCCACACACCAACAATATTAACGGGGTCAGGAAAACCCAAATTCACTACCTCTACTTTTAATGATAAATGATGCTTGCAATTCAGATCATGTCTTACTACATCAAAACTGTTCAAAATCTGATCCCAAAGAGTTATTTTGTTTGAAATTCAGGGTCATCTACCTTAACTGAGTCTCCCACATCCCACACCAGCAAATAATAACAATCCTTGCATTTGATATAGCGCCTTATCGTATCTTCGAGACGTCTCAGAGTGCTTCCCAGGATATTCTGTAAAGTGAATTGACTGTGTATTTTGTGGGTGAAACATGGCAGCTAATTGCACATAGCAGTGTCCCTCAAACAGTCGTGGATTGAGTGACCAATTATTATTATTTATTCATTTATTAATTGATTTATTTTTTGAAGGGATTATTACCCTTGCAAAAGGGATTCGCCAATCAAATAACAACCGGGTTACTACTTACTGCTAGGTAAACAGAGGCATGTATAGTAAGGAAACTTGCCCAACGTTTCACCCTGCCCGGGATTCAAACCCAGGATCTCTTGCTTGCAAGGTGAGTGCTCTGACCACTGAGCCAAAACACTTCAGTTAATGGACAAAGATATAAAGTCCTTGCCCGTTAACTGAGATAGACGCACTTTTGGGGGGATAGGTAGAAAAGTGTAAGTCACAGTTTGTCACTCTCTCCACCTCTCCTCTGTCACAAGATTGTGGGTTCAAGACCCACGTCGGAACTCCAGCCAAGTTGGCCTTTTTCTTCAGATAAACGCTGAAGGTTCTATTACACTGTCCAACAAGAGAAGGGCATTTCTCCTGGTGTCCTGCCCAACAATCCTACAGATTAATTGATCATGTCTAAAAACAACAAATTGCATTTATATAGCTCCTTTCACATTAGGAGCATGTCCCACCATGCTGGACAGTCAAGCGTTGGAACCTGAGCTGGGGGATGGAGTCAAGAGGGGTGGAGGGTAAGGGGGGTGTGGGTGGTAGGATACAAGAAGGCATGGTCAAAGAGGAAAGCCTTGAAATGGCTTTGAAGGAGGTGGGGGTGCTCCGGGATGGAGTTCCAGAGGGTAGGGGCAGAAAAGCTGAAGACCAGATCCCGATGGTGAGGCAGATAGGGCGTGAGATGTGTAGCGGGCAAGTGACTGCCGAGCAGAGGGAATAGACAGGTTGGTATGGTGTTAATGGGTCGCTGTCACTTACAGGTTCTATGAACCAGCAGAATCCATTGTTCAAAAATGTGATGAAAAATTACTACGTAACCACAACAACAATAACAACTTGCATTTATTTAGTGCCCCTCAGGCAGGGTAGCATCCCAGAGTGATTGACATTGGCGGGGAATGACTCTGAGTTGGGTGAGGTGACCCATAGGCATTGTCGAAGAGGAAGGTCTTCAGGCACAATCTGAAGATGGGGAAGTAGGGGCAAGGCAGAGGATTGATAATGTAAGCTTATTATCTTAATTTCCCATCTGAATACAAATCCAAGGCCAAAAAAATCTATTCAATTAATAGGTCTTCCTGATACCTATCTCATTGCTATCTAATCTGTCATCTTTCACACATTGTGCCTTGTCCACTGATCACCTCTTTCCCTGGCTGGACCATGTGTTCATTTCAGATTAATTGGTCATTCACCTGTCTCATGGTTGTTTATAGGACCACATTCATACATGACCTGCTGTATTTGTCCAAACAAATCACCATCTTGAGAATAGTTACTTGTGAATCTGTTTGGGACATTTCTCTTGTTCATTCAGCCACTGATTAAACAAGAGCCACACTGAATGAAATACTTTTTTTTTGTGGTTTCCACAAGGATCTTTAACATCCATCCAACAGGCAAACAGACCTCGGTTTAATATCTCATCTGAAGGACTATGCCTCTGACAATGCAGTGCACTACCAGCACTGCATGACTTTGAAGACTATGATTTCAAAGTCCCAAATTGAACCCACAACTGTGACTCAAAGGCAAGAATAATGATATGAAATAAAATGGTAACATTTATGGCAAACTGTAGCACGGAAACAGGCCATTCGCTCCAACTAGTGTATGCAGCGACTGATAAATAAACAACAGCGTAAATTAATTATTAATGATCAAACACCACAGATTTTTACCACCAAAGGTAATATCTATACCTCCAATAATGGAAGATACAGGCTGTAACAAGTTGCGGGCAGCCATTTGTGTGGGTGTTCATGGGTGTCTTTGGAGTTGTGATAATCTACATACAACATTGCAATCATCATTTTTTATGCACACACACATGACATGGAACATTAGATAGACTGTGCAGAAAAGCAGCATGATTACATGATTCCACAAATGCATCTCTAAACCACAATTTCTGGCATAGAAATATTAACACGTGATATTTTACTACATGAGCTTGATATGGGGAGGATCCAGTGAAGATTTTACGGGATGACACGGGCTTTGTTCGAATGAGAATTATTGAGCTGAAAATGATAAAGAGACCTGAAATTCCACCTAGTCTCAGCCCATAAAATCATTTTGCCTTGAAATTAAGGTTGCACAGAATTTGTGATAAATTCTTATATTCAGTCTTCAACATAGAAACTGATTTTCCACAGTTCTTAAAAATAACCGGCTTCCAAATTGAGGTTTGAATTGATAATCTTCCATAACCCATGTTACATTTTATGGCAAAATGGTCTGTCAGGCTAAGACAAAGACAAGGTGGAATTTTGAATCCAGTGAAGTGACATGGGAATGAATGATGAATAAATGGCCCAGTTGGATACGGTTGTTAGTAATAATAATAATTATCTTCGCATTTTATATAGTGCCTTATCACGTTGTCGAGATATCTCAAATCGCTTCACAGATTATATACTGTAAAATGGATTGACTGTGTATTTTGAGGGTGAAATGTGGTGGCCAGTTGTGTACAACAATGTCTCACAAACAACTATGGAGTGAGTGACCAATCTTATTTGGAGAATTGTTAGTCAGGACATTGGGAAAGAGCAACTCCCTTCTCTTTTCGAATAATGCCATGGGATCTTTAACGTCCACCTGAACAGGTAGACAGGACCTCAGTTTAATGTAAGGACGGCACCTCAGACAATACAATGTGTCCCCAGAACTGCATTGGAGTGTCATCTTAGACTATGTGATTCAAAATCCTGAAGTGGGGCTTGAACTCTTCTGACTCAGAGGCAAGAGTGCTTCCACTGCATAGGGTTGTTGGGATGAGATGAGTGAGTGACTGGACTGCTATGTGTGGACACTTGATATATGCTGCCTTTGACACTGTATAGTTTAGGCTGACTCACTTGAAGAAGTCTTCCTTGCAGTAAACGTTTCCGGCCCTGGAGAAACACTTGTCTGACAGTTGTAGCTGACAGTCAGCACATTTGAGGCATTTACTGTGCCAAGGTCGGTCCAACACCTTCAAGATGAATTTATCCAGGATGTGCTGATTGCAGCCTGCACACAGTGGGATCTCTGCAAAGGGAACAAACAGACATAACAAACCTTAGGCAAGTTTCTTTATGCTACATGCCTGTTTACCTAGCAGTAAGTGGGAACCTGGTTGTAGTCGATTGCTTTTTTGGGGGAATAATCCCTCAAAATAAATAAAAAAATAAACAAATAAATAAAATTTGGCCACTCAATCCACGAATGTATGTAGGACACTGCTATGAGCAATTTGGCTGCCAAGTTTCACCCACAAAATACGCAGCCAATTCACTTTACAATATATTTTGTGAAGTGCTTTGAGACGTCTCAATGACGCGATAAGGAGCCATATGAAATGCAAGGATTATTATTACAAACATTTGCAAAATAGGGTGGGTATTGACATTCACAACCCTATGGTCTGACTGTGACCCAAATTACTCAGGAGGGTGGTGGGGAGTTAGAAAGGGTCAGAACCGAGTAGCAAGATGTTACTCCCCCCACCCCAAAAGGAAAGGACAGAGATATATACACAAGGAATGTGACAGATAGAGTAAGGGAATGAGATCTGAAGTGTCAGAGATGACAAACTGACGTTTATATACATGCATCTAACATACCGCAAGGCAAAGGGAGGACAAGAAAAGAAAGATAGACCGAGAGCGAGGGATAGAATGATTCTAAATCCATCCAACGGTATGGTAAACCCAGTATCTCTGCAGGTATTTGATCCGGATCAACAGCGCGGAGTTGATTAGATTTAATAATGCGGTTAGTACTCCCAGAGAAGCTCACCTCCCCCTTGAACGGATAAACTTGTTCAGATGTCCAGATGTATTGTTTTAATGCGCTTTCCAAACCCTCCCGTTTAAGGCCACGTTGCCCAGTATTTCAGAGGGATGGATTAACTAACACGGGAACCAGGGGCAAAGCACGATGAGGAATGCACAAGCGTTGGGCAACACAATTTAACTCACAAACCATCTCTCTTATCTCATAGATTACCCAACGATCAGCACTCCCGGGCGGGCAGCCAGGAGTGGGAAGTCGGGGTTGGGAGCTTTCTGTAACCTGTGGCTGGACGTTAAGTGTGATCAGAAACCCAGAGAGGGTTGGGAAAAAAAATCAGGCAGTCATCACACTTGGCACAGATCTGGTCCAAAACGACCTCGCCACATCCCCTATACTGGACTATCAACCGCGGAGAGTTTGTAAAACACGGTACCACATCTATAACACGGACATAGTATGTTATAGCGGCACATTGCAACGAGAGAGAGNAAAAAATACATCCCCAATAATAATGTTCCTTGCATCTGATATCGCGCCTGATCTCAAAGCGCTTCACAGAATTTTATGGCAAAGAATTGCCTGTATATTTTTTGTGGGGGAAACGGTATTTTCGACAGTAAACCTTGTTAGATGTAAACCTGGTCAGATGTGTGAGGAAGAGTGGTTTGTGTGTTTAATGTGACTGTTTTCCATTCACTGAGACGAGCGGAATTTTTGCCAAATGATGTACATATATTTACAGGAATTTCCTACGCGTTATGTAGCAATGCATGGGATTCTCAGCTTGGTCTGGATACCCTTAAACCTGGTGATGAGTGTCCGCATGTCAAAAAAATATATAACTGGTTTAAAAATCCCCTGAAATTCACCGACGCACGTATCCGTCGGAATGGTTTAAACAGCGAACAAACCCAGAAAATAAATCGTCGATTTGTGTTTTCATTAAAACCTAGTTTAGATAGTTTACTTGATTTGTTTGAAGGAGAAATGTCTGGTTGGTTGGTAAAAGCCGTAGTGTGGCGGCGTATTGTTAACTGTTAGAAATGTGTTGATAACGAATCCAAAAGCAAATTGGGATGAAGGACAACCTTGTATATATATATATATATAATGTTGCCCTTCATTGGGGTCTTGTATTTAAATGCAGGTAAAAGAATCAGATGTTCAATACCATTCCATGTATAATCGAATGAATATCCCTTTTCCGCATATAATTCCCTCTTTACTATTTCTGAATTATTTGCGGTTGCGAATTTGTTAAATGACACGTTCCTATGAATCAAACAGTGCCTTTTAGATCAAAGAGCGGTTCTGTTTAGCTGGGAAGCAGGGATTTACAACAGCTTGCTCTTCTCTCCCCTACCCCCACCGTAAATAAAGATATGTCGCAGATTTTTGTAAGATAAACCTGCCCTCTTCTCCTCTCTCCATTCACGAAGAAATGTCCCCTGGTTACATAGTTTTGTTTCCCTGCTCTCTTGCAAACACCCTCAATGGAACCAGCTAAACGGATAACGCTTTATAGCTGCAATATTACATAAATGGGATATTTCTGTCCAGCCAGTTGTTCTGTGTTGTCAAAAAAAAATCTAAGTACAAAATCCTCTACCGGCTGATCCGAGTCTGGATACTGTATTTATCTGAGTACATTACAGTTGTATTAGATTAATAAATAAATATCCTTCTTGTCTCTGTGGAAGGTCTCGTCAATTTGTTCATTTACTCGTCGTCCCTATGGGCTGCTCAATACATTTTTGGGAGGTAATGTACTTATTTTAATGTTGTGGGAGTCTCACATTACAAGCTTTTGAAGGGGATTTTTGTTATTATAAAACACAGACAGAAAAATACTGATATCAGACTTGAACTCCCGACAGAACACAAAACGTCCATTTAACATGTGTCCATTTAACATTTCTGTCAGCAAAGCTCTCCATACATACCCACTTCTTAGTGTTAACGCAACTTAAACCAGGCATCGCGCAAACCTGGGCTCCCTCACCTGTTATTTCCATCCATTCCTGATTCCCAGTATATAACTTCAGCCTGTTCTCATTAAGATTTTACTTCCCTTTATATATATAATATATATATACACACACACACGCCTTAGAACTTGACTAACCAACACAAACATACTTTTTTCCCCAATTTTTTTTAAAAGAATCAAATATATATATATATATATATCACTTACACACGCCTTGGCATTTAATGTATGCAGGGTTTCCCTTGATTAAAAAATACAAGCAGAAATCCTCCCCCCCCACCTCCCTCCCCCCACCTCCACCACCACCACCAAAAAATAATATATAATAGAATGAAAAAACTCCACAAAAAAACCATAATACATAAATTAAAATGAAATCAATCATCATAATGCACATTGCCATGCCAGCTGCAAATTACGGATAGAAGCACAGTACAGTCTGCTGTGGTTATTGCCTGAAGTTATTTCTTGACTTTTCAGCACTACACACAGACACAAGACGACTTGAAGCAGTGCACCAAACGCAATGATACAGTACAACATTTCACGCGGCGCCTCTAACACTGCAAAGCTCCCATCTAAGCGGGAGCTCTTCTTTACAGACCGATAGCAATAATCCTTGCCTTTGCTATATCCAGATAATGCAATACACGTACTTTTACTGTACATAAATATATATTTTGTGAGGGGGGAGGGGAGAAAAGACGATTTATCTAACCGGATATCACAGTCCAGCGTTCTACAGCGCTCTCGATCTCCATCATTGCTCCACATCAAAGTTGGAGTGCGCACACAATTAGGGTTCATTTTGGTATAAAATGCAATTGAAAACATAGCGGTTAAAAAGTTGCAGTGCCCAGTCCCAATTACCGAGGCCTTATAATCCACGCATTTACTGAAATCTCTGAGCCTGTTAAAATTTCTGCATCGTTTTGCAGTACCTCTTATTTTCTTTCCCTTATATCCCCACCACCACCACCATCACCTCCCACCACCACCTCCCACCACCACCCCCCACCACAAAAAAAATGTTTAATATATTCTAATATACGCTTGTATTTCAGCACCGGGACAGCTCCAAGGTGCCTCCTACAGCTGTGTGGAACTGCCAGGTTAGACCAGACGGTACCAGACGGTAAAGGGTAAAGGTTGGACCACAACCTCTTTTTAAAATCGCTTTCCCTTTCGCCAGAGGGATGGTCTTACGTTGCACTGTGACTCCCAGCAGCTCTTGAACTCCTTTCCCGGGGCTCTCAGTGGCGATCGCCGCACTTTGCATCATTTTTTTTTCTCTCTCCCCCCTCCCCCCCCCCCCACCCTCCACCCCAAAAGCAAGACGGTTGCACACCCACCACCTCCCCAACCACCCACCCTTTCCCTTTCCCTCTAGAAAAAAAATAACAGCTCCCCCCCAAAATAATAATAACAACAATAATAATATCTCCCAGTCTTATCTTCCAAGGGATCCGTGCAGATATCAATAAATAAATCCACTGCCCTGTGCCTGGTTTGGATGCGGGAATCCCTTCTCTCACTGGTACATTCAGATGTGGATGACAGTCTTAACAAATCATGACATCATCTGCTCCCACCTGCCAACCAGGCTCCGAGGACTTCCCTTCCCCTCCAGAGGTGCGGCTTCAACCCATAAAAGGGAATGGTCCCTCCATCATGGGCGTGGGGGTGGGGGTGGGGGGGGGGGACATGTCCCATATATACATAATGGTCTTGGAACGAAACCAATGCACCACCTCTTCTTCCCACTTCGATTTCGCCCCATCCATCGGGGCTCTGACTGACAGACAGTCATCATTAAGGGTACAGAGTGAAATCCTTTCCCGGGGGCGAGGGGCTGGGGGGGGGGGGGGTGGGGGGGGGGGTTGGACACTTGATCGCACACTTTCTCTGCAACCCAGTTAAAGGGGTGGGAGGGGGTTGGGGGGGGGGCTGGGGGGGGGGGGAGATCAATCTGCCCAAATATTCACTGAAGTGGGCGTATTGGACGCTGGAGCGCCTCTCACTGTCAAAACAGTCAAAAACAACCCTAGACATGTGCTCTCCAACAACCCCCCCAACACCCCCCCCCCCCCCCCCCCACACACACACACACACACACAGCTCTCAAACCACATGTAGGAAAAACTAATTCCAGGTGAGATCAGGGGAGCAAACAAATGTATACGTATATGGGGTGTGCACACTTCTCCACGTCGGTTGCATCTGCTTTGTTTGCAATGCCGTTGTGACCACAGGAAGACGCTGA